GATTGTTTATCGTTTTACCAACTTCAAAAGCCTTCTTAAGATAAGAATAAATCAAATTATTGGAAAGATGAGCATCGATTACTTCGTGGAGAAAAGGAAATTGTCTGGAATTTTGTAAGTAAATTTGTTATTAGGAGTGCTCATTTACGGTTAAAGCTATATAGGGAGTTGAGATCGTGCTGTTGAGGCAGTTAAAATAACTTTTGCCTTCGTTCTTTTACGTGAAGAATAAATTACATATAAACTGACTAAACTAACTGTTTATTTTCAATTTTTTATTTTAATAATTGTTTTCTTAAAATGAAAAACATTTTCCAGATGTCAAAATATGATTGGTCGAGTGACTTGTGCTTTAGTATATAAGGGATAATAAATTATATTAATTATAGTTTTATGGTTAGTTTAATAAAAATATATTATATGTCTATATGTATTTTATTTCTCTAAGGATTCTAAGAAGCATTATAGTGATGACACATGTCATAGCTCAAATTTTTTAATGTTTCTCAAATAATATATAAAGGATGTTATTTTTTTTATAACACTGAGATCAAAACAAAGTACGAGGGAAAACAAAAAAGACAAACTAATAACAGGAAATTGAGATGTCAGTAGACACCATCAAAAGACAAAACGAAAGAAAGGAGAAGGAAATAAACTATTTACCCACACCCTTCTTTACTGAGCCTCCAAGACGAGCAGATGATGTAGCCACGAAGGAGCATTCCGAGCGATATATGACTGATGACGCCGATCCCGAGTAAAGGATGTTATTTATAAGTATTTCTGTTTTGAGTCTACATGTTTCCTTTTGATATAGAAAACTCGGATTTGAGGTTAGATCTTGACCGAACCAACCAAAGACACAATCATGGATGAATCCGGGTTGATGAATGAAAATTTGGAAGAAAACAAGATGAACCTGGCTGGAATGGATATGGATCAAGATGAGTTTATTCCTCAACCAAATGACGCTAAATAACAATTCAAACATGCCCAAAGTGATGTGATCAGATTCAATATGAAGATGGGTGAATTCAGAAAATCCTATATGAGTTTCTTGTCACCCATTTGCATTATGGACCTATGACAAGATCCATGTCAATGAAGATAGAGGAAACACTTGGGTGTTTGATCAAAACCAATAAAGAAGAAGGAGAAGCTCTTGGACACAATTAAAGGATGCAACCATATTCATTTACTTAACCTTCTTAACCACCACCTAAACTCTTTATGTTTCTTTTCTTTTGTGTTTACAAGGCAAACATGCCGAGCCTTTGTGTCTTTTCTAAACCCTTGGTCGAGTTCATTCTAATTAATCATCATTTTTATAAAACTACTAGGGTAAACCCGTCTTATGGCTGAGCAGATAAATAAATTAGTAGTATAAATGTTTAATTTACTTTTAATTAAAGGTAGCATCAACATGCTTAAATATTTATTATCTTTAACCATAATTTTATCTATTTGTTTTACAATTCATTTTCAAAATTTTATAATTGTCTAATTATATTAAAATATTTTAAAAGTAATTATTTACTTTCTCTCAATGTTTATTTTACTTTTTTTTTTGTTCAAATGTTTATTTTACTTTAACTTTAACCAATAAGTCATAAAAAGATAAAATTACAGTTGATTGGAGTGAAGTTATTTATTTTCTTAATTATATGTTTGTTTCATGAATCATTTTATTTTAAAATTGATGATTTACACTATTTAAAAGAAATAATTTTTTCATTTTAGCCAAAAATATTTTAAGACATACACATATATAATATAAACTATCATTACCACTTATACATATACATTTTTACTAGCCGCTTATATGTATTATTATCTTTGAAACCAAATATAACCATGTTATCCAAATAACTGATTAGAATTTTTGAAATAAATACTACTAATTTATAAAATATAACCAATACAAATTTTTACTAATTATTATATATTTATTTATCTTATTATAGAATAACATTAACTATTTTATTATTTGATATTGTATATTTTTATTTTTTATATATTTACATATTAAAGTATGTAAATTGGATATTATAATGGTTTGGAATACATGTACATGTAGATGATGAAGTTGTCTGTTAGTGAATTTATATTTATCTAAAACCTAAGTTCTTAGTTGAAAATATTACAAAATTATTAAATAATTAACTTTTATTTTGACTCCTTTCCCGAATGATTGTTCTTTTATCGATTTGTTAGTGATTTATATTTTCATGAATGTTGTGATATTGATATGTTTAATCTTATAAAACATTTTTATAGTTAGATATATTTATTTAAATCACAAGGGATTTGATCAGTAAATTGACATAATGATATAAATAGTCAGTATTATAAAGTAGCTGAGAAGATTTTAGGAAAAAGAAAATCATGCAGAGTAAAACTTTTCTATTAAAAGAGAAGTATTATTTATATCTATTACAAAAAGTCATGTAAGACCATCTCATTAATATGACATATTTAATTATTTATATTAATCAATTAAATATATATAATTGGAGGAATATTTTAATAATTAATAAGATATCTCTATAATATTATTTGAGAAGTCACTTTCTTAGGTGTCGCGCTCACGTTAACTCTCACGTTGGTTGATTACTATGATACCCTTAATGAAATAAAAATATATTTAAATATTATTATTTCCTTTTTAGAATCTTCCAAATAACAATATAAAATAAAAAGGAAGTATTTATAAAATTTACAAAAATATTTAAAACGAAAAATAAGTATATATATAATATGGTTTCATAAAAAAAAGGAAAGTTTACAAAATAGTAATATTTAACTTAAATATATTTTTAAATAACATAAATTATACTTTTAAGTAGTAAAATACTTTATATCTATATCTTCTTAGATGAAAAAATATTTGTATATAATGTCTTTTCATTAAAAAATTTCATACAAATAATCTTGATATTAGAAAAGAAATATTGTTTCTTTAAAAAAATAATTTAAACGATAAAATATATATTTTCAAATTAATTATTTTTTGATATATCTATCTATTTTATTAGATGATTACATAAAATAATTAATTAACATAAACTGATATATGTTTAATTGAAAAAAAAATTATAATTAGTATTATTGAAATATTTTTAGTATATTTATTTGATTATAATATCTTACAATTACAGCAAAAAATATAAATTATATTTTACTTATATAATATAATTTCTCAAAAACAATCACATTTTTACTGCATATATTAATAGATGTTAAAAACAAAAATAAAAATAAATTTAATAATAAACATCTTTTGATCAAATAACTACAATTCTTCTAAAATATCATAACACTATAATTTAACAAGGTAGATATATTATATTTTAATAGTTAAAATTATCTGTTTTCTTAATAACTCTTTTGATGTTTAATTTTATGTTTTTATGTTTGTGGAATTTAATATAACCATAATCAAAATACTTAAGACAAATCAGAATTCCTTATTTTTAAAATTATTTAAAATAAATTTCAGTTTATCATCCAATCAATCTATGGCATAAATTATTTAGAATTTATAAAATATTTTCATTATTGTAAATATTGATATGTGTTCATATGCTTTCAAAAATTTTATTATTACTTATGTAATTTAGAATCAGATACTTTAGTTTTTATTTTTTTGTTCTATGCACAAAAAATCTTAAAATACATAATCTTACTAAGATATACTTATGTTTCGTAGATAACAACCAACATAAATAAAATAATTAATCAAAAATTTAAGATATTAAGAATAAAAAATATTATAGTTGAATTCATAGAAAAGTTAGAATCCAACATATATATATATATATATATATATATCCAAATGATAAAACTGACTAAATATAATATATCTAAAATTATAATAACTAAAATAATATAATATTATTAATACAAATTATGCATACAAATTATAAATTAATATAAAATTTAAAGTAAATATCAGTCAACTATTATAATATATTTATTTCTTAAATGTTTATGCTCGTGCATGAGCACGGGAAAATCACCTAGTTAGTGATAAATTTGTTGAGAAAATATCTAACAAGATTTTACTAAGAAGTTTAAATATTTTTATAAAATATGCATTATTTAATTTCATGATTAATATTTATAAATATCTATATTAATGTTAATTAAAAATAAAATTTTTATTTTATAATATAGTTATATTCTATATTATATTAAAATAAAATGCTATGTGAAATGAATATAAAATATACTAAATTGGTAAAGGAAAATATTTTATTTTAAAAAATTTCTTTTATTCAAATAAATAAATAAATATCACTCACTTTTAAAACATATTAAAGTTTTTAAATCATATAATATTTTTATATAAAAAATGTTAATATATATTTTTGTAACTCACAACAAATACATTATATAAAAAATTATATGTGAATTTTTTTTATTTTAAAACTTACAACAGTATATTATTTAAAAATAATTAAAATTATAAATTTATACAATTATACAATATATAACAATAGAATGTAAATCATATATATTTGAAAAGTTTTGTTATATTTTTATAAAATGAAAAAATATCCGCACGGATGTGCGGCTTCAAAATCTAGTATATATAATTGCAGTATCATATCTAGTTTTAAGAATTCTCTCTAATAACGAAGAAGAAAAGTATAGAAAGTGAGTAACTAAAACTGTAGTGAAAACATGGCACGTGCATGCATAGCTGTAAGTGTGTAACCACTCGAGCTTGAATGAGGTCGCAGCTTTTGTAACTCCCAAAAATGGACTATATAGTTCACCTTTAAATTTTGAGAACAGTTAAAGATTCACCAAGACATCTCTCGGGATCAAAGTTACTGCTCAATTACAGGGTTTCAGCGAAACAGTCATAAGGCTCGTAACAGAGAATACTGTATACCAAGCTTCTAAAGTAATCGGTAAGGCTTGTTCAATGAGAAATAGAACTCGAGCTTGGACTTGACTGGTTTATACGTAGCTAATGTTTTATTTTATTACAAAAATTGAATTGATTTGGTATTATCTTGGCAGACCTCAAATCGACTGAAGCAAATGTCGGGCCAAGATAATGAATTTAACAGAAAGAACTAAAGCAACGATTAGAAAAAATCCTACTTCGAAAATACACAAAACATAGTAAGAAACAACCCGAGGCTTATAAATATTGCTTACATAATGAACTCTCAAGGGATTGCTCAAACCAAGATCACAAGTGTTTCTGGTCTTTAAAAAAAAACGAAAGTGTTTTGGGTCTTTGATGCCTTTGATATCCAAATGCTAGACAACTGTGAGAAGCAGAAGATCATGTGATTCTTCGTTTCCTGGAAATGACTGTTCTATTTGACGGGACAGATGAATCTTGCTTGTGTGCTTCAACCATTGAATACACCTGCACTCCATCAATATTCACTTGCTTTTAACCATAGAGTCCCCGAATCAAACGATCATGACAAAAAATGACTGTTTTATATAATGAGGATAAGTACTTACCTTTCTTACAGCCGACGTCAGTCCCATGGTCGAAAGAACATCACTGTCCACACACTTCCATGTCAGAGTGTCCTTTGCCTCACCTTTGAACAGATCAATTGTTCCCCCTTCTATGACATAGAAGAAAGTAACATATTGTCTAGAAATACGTCCATGTCTATGTACAAGAAAACCCGAGAAAAAAAGAGATATATGCTGGTCAAACCTGTAAGTTGTACGACTAATAGCTCCACATAAATTTTTCGACGTATGTGTGTGAAGATGTGGACGAATTCTCCAAGTTCTTTTCTTGAAACTATAGTGCATGTTTCCTTGGGATCTACATGAAATGTTTCTTTAAGGTAGAGATTGATCGCCTTCCTCCTTGCTGCCACACTAGCTTCCTTATCCAATATAACAGATGGGAACTCCCAAAGACCAGCAAGCAGACCCTCTTCGGGTCTCTTTACGAGAACAAATCTACCTCCTGTCTGGTTCAGTATTTCCAAAACACATACGCAACAGAAGTCGAGCCTTGGCTTGGCCTTGACCACTTTTGTAGGATACTCTGTCACGGGAATGGTTCTGTTTTCCTGGAAAAGTGAGTATGCACGGCACTGGCTGGAGACAGGACAAGAAGAGCAACTTGGCTTTGATACGGAGCATAGAGTCGCACCAAGCTCCATCAGAGATTGGTTGAAATCTCCAGGACGTGAAGGATCCACAAGTTGTGCAGCTAGTTTCCTGATCAAAATAAAATAATATATATATATATATATAAATTTATCCATTCTTTCTCTCAACATCGGAGGAAATGCAAAAGTTGGTTCACCAGAAATTCTTGATAGTAATCCGGTCTTTCGGATTAGCTGAGATAGCCTTTAGCCTGGCAAGCACTCTTATCACGTTACCATCAACAACAGGTACCGCCTGGAACATATAGTAAGTAACCAAAAAAGTTTAGTTAAAGTTTATGGCTGAAAAATAAAACTGAATCACCTCATTAAAAGCAATGGAGGCAATTGCTCCGGCTGTGTATTCTCCTATTCCTTTAACTTTCATCAAGCTAGACGCTTTATTAGGAAAACCCTCCCTCCCTGCAACAACCATCTTTGCTCCCTACCAGAAATAGAAAAAAACATTACAGTGAAAGAATCAACTAGTGTCAGTCAAACCCTGGACTGCACAAACAAGTGTATTCACCTCTAAAAGAAAACGTGCCCGTCGATAGTATCCCAAACCTGCCCACATTTCGTTTACCTCCTGCAGCGCCACGAACTCAATTTGTTTAGCAACAACATCATTTTTTTTCTTTAGAAAAAACACAAGCACAGAGGGGAAAGAAAGGTCTTTCTTAATCATGCCACTCCACTGGATAAACAAATTCAAATGGTGTGGCATTGGCTAATATACCCTCAATTGATTCGAAATTAGAAAAAAGATAACCTCAAGGGAAGCTTGGGCAAGGTCGTCAATGGTTGGCCATTTATGCATCCAACGTTTGTAAAACTCCATTACAGTCTGAACCCTAGTTTGCTGCAACATAATCTCCGACACCCAAACCTCATAAGCTCTTCTCTCCTTTTCAGTTTCGCTCCTTCTCTTCCTCCATGGAAGATCTCTCTGATTATCATCGTACCAATCAAGCAGAGACATTCTGATGTTATGGGTATCCTTTTCGCTGAAGAGATCCTCCATATCTCCTCCAATGGGTTCTTCTTCTTCTACTTTCTTCTCTCGACAGTTTCTCCTCCGACGGGACATCATTTTCCTCTCGCAGCTCGAAGCTTTGAAGTGGAAACTCGGAATCGTCTTTTGGTTTTGTCTCTTTGAAGCGACCGTTGATCTTTCAAATGTAGGGTTTATTAGCCGCACGCGAGGAAGTGGGAAGGAAGTGCCATTCATTCAACTCGCACCATGAGAAAGATGATGAAACTCAAATATCTACTTTACCCTTTATTTTAAATAAAACAGAAAATTCTCAATGTTTTCCTTAATTCCAAACCAAAACTATAGTTGAATTGATACTAAATTTTTGACTCACCCGAAGATTTTTTTTGCGTGTTATAAATAAAATTTTATATGAATTAGTACTTTAGAAATTTTGTTATATTATTATATTATAAACTCGTAATATATCGAATACGGAATTTTCTTAAGCTTATATAATTTTGAATTAGTTTATTTGAGGTTTTGTATGTACACGTTCTCTAATGTAATTCTCTTAAGTGTGTTCTCTAATGTAATTTTCTTAAGTGTATGTATTTTTATCTGAACCTTAAAACCTGAATTTAAACCGATATGAAAATATAGGTTTGGGTTCTAATCGAATAAAATATATATTGGGTTATGGTTTTAGACAAGCGGGTCTCCAATTGAGTCCGGATATCTAAAGTATCCAAATTTTATGTGTATATTCTGTTTATTTGGGTATATTAGATATATGTTATCAATATTACAATTTTTTTTTTAGTTTGGGATTCTGATTTTTAGTTATAGTTTTGGGTTTCGTTAAAATTTTAAAATTATATTTGGGTATTCATATCAAACTTTGGCGAGTAAAATGTTGGATCTTTTTAGGTATTTGAATAGTTTCAGGTGTTTGTTTGAATTTTCTTGTATTTTTGTGTTTTAGCTTTTTCAGGTTCTCAAGTATTTTGAGTCTTTTTGTCCTAAATACCGAACTAACATGGAACCATTATGTAGCCAGATTGCATGTACTTGAATTATGGACTCGTACCGACCCATATCTAAAAGGAACCGATCTAAATCCAACCCGAAAAAATTTCAACTACCTAGTTAGGTCCAAATGTCTAGAACCTAATGAACTCGAACCTGAAAGGAACCAATTTGTACTAGACTCGAAGACCCGAATACCCAAACCTACTTTTTATCATTATATTTCGTGTGTGTTTTATAAGAATTATATTTGTTGAATTTGTGAGCCTTAAGATTTACTTTGGAGATTTTAGGCTAATTTAATAGTAGATATTTTTATGTTTTTTTGTTTTTTTCTGAAAAAAGTTTTTAGGCGTTTTAATAATTTTTAATCATATCCTAAATACTTTTTATCATAAATAATTTTTCAAAAATTAGTTTAACGTAATATATAAAATATATAATTTTTTAATAGATGGTTAACTAAAGCGTTTTGTATCAAATTTGATTTTGTAAATATTTGGAATTATATAATGTAAGATAACCTGGTATAAATGTTGTATGATATATGCTAATTCATTTCTATAATTAATATTTACATATTGTAGGTCCATATTATGCATAAATATTGTGTATAAAATTATTGCATAACAATCATAATGCTAGATGAAAAAATAATTTAGAAAAGAAGTGTATTACATAAAATCTTATACAATAAAGTTGACTTCTCTCCCTTCTTAGAGAGCCACATCAGCATTTGTGAGGGGGGCAAAAAAAGACATGTCAGCAATTAACCATCCAAATCAAACCGAAAATGTTAAGTCTCTGCGTACCGATTTGGAGTTCGATTGTTATACCGTATTGGTAATTTACTTACTTCGTTGGGCTGGGCGTGTCTTGGAGATAAATGAAAGGCCCATCATTTTTTTTTAGGTCATCCTTCGTTCTTCTTTCCCTTCAGCTTAAGCTGCCTCCTCTGGCAAATAGCCGCAGTAACACGATCTCTACACTGTAACGGCTGAGCCTTCCATTAATTTCTTATTAACTCTGAGCTTTTCATCCTTATTACCGACGACCCCTCTGCTTCTTCTGCTTTTACTCGACGGCCTTACATACCTCATATACTGCCTTCTAATCAGTTATCCCCATTGCGTATTAATTTCTTATATATATTGTTCTCAAGTTTTAGATGGAATTCATAGTTTTCGGATTCTCTCCCTCACACGATACCATGCCAAACTCAAACTCACATAAATGGTGATTTCGAGGTCTACCTTTTCGATCTGAAGGGTGATCGTTAAAAGGAGATTTTTTTTTTTGTGTTTGAGAAGGTACTCTGGGAAGTTCGCAATCTGAGGAAAGGAGGCGATCGTATTGGGGTTGACATGTTGTTGCTGGATGAGAAGGTACTCATAAACTTACTGTGCTTAACTTACTTCTACATTCTTAATAGCGAAACTATTTTTGCTAGCAGTCATTGATCCAAGCATCTGCTGAGAGAAAAGGAGAAGTGTACGAGCTTAGTGTTTTTGATGCTCCATTTACAATGAAGAAAATCAGTCTATTCAGCGTGTTATGGTCACTATACAAATGTCCAGGTACGTTACTCCATTTGAACGTCTAATCTGTCTGAAGTTGTTACTGTTTTGGGTTTGTTTAAACTCTGTATGTTTCTGAGAAACCTCATACACCTCTGTAGGTCACCCACTGTTTGTGTTGGTGTGTTTGACAAGGTCTCCTCCATAAGAAGTTAGAACTATTGGCTTTAGTGTCAAAGCGATGGTTGCAACTAACATAAATTCCAAAGTAGTTGGCCGTAAAATGTCTTCTTTGTAAATGTTAATTTTGAAAAATGAAACGATCAATTTCATGCTAGCCTATCGTCTGAATGGAAGATGTTTATTCCTCAATTCGACATCAGGAGCGCACTTCAACTTTGACAATGAAAGCCTAGCCACACTGAGTTCTTAAAAAAGGTAAATTACTTATTTGTTACTTTTCTTTTGAATCAATACAAATGTTATATTATATACCGTGAAGTGTATCAAAGTTATGTAACCATTACATTTGTTCATGGATCTTGATTTGAGAAATGGGGTTCGTGAATCAATACAAATGTTATACTATATATCGTGAAGTGTATAAAATTGATGTAACAATTATAGTTGTTTATGGTCTTTTGATTTGATAAATGGGGTTCGTTAATATATATCAATAGCTTCAGTATTTTGTTTAGGATCTTTGCCATATACTATCTAATATATTATATTTTCTATAAACATAAGTAATTTGTATTAACGTATTGATTTTTATCCTTTTGATGTATAAATTTTTATCATGAAGTAGATTTTAGATATAAAAAAATTATTATAGATATAACACTTCAGCCTTCAAAACTTTTTTTTGAAATTAAAAAAAAAAATATTAATTTAAAAATTTATTAAGAAATTATGTTGAAGATTATTTATAATGTATTGATTTGGATTAGAAATATATTGCTACTCAAGAAAAAGATTATTAGGAATATGAATGATTCAAACAATGAGAGGATATAAAAGATGGACACTCTCGGTTGGAATGGTGAAACCATAAACATGTCTCAAGGCCACAGACCAATCTACTTACCGGAAATAAGAAGAGTGGAAGAATGTGGCGGCTTTGTCCATGACGGTTACTTAGACGGTATTCTATCAGTCACACGAGCTCTAGGAGATAGGGACATGAAACTACCACGAGGGTCGCGATCTCCACGCAAAGCGTATCCAGAGATCTAACATTTATGTTTAATAGAGGAAGACGAGTTTCTGATAATGGGATTCGACGGGATTTGGGACATTCTGACAAGTCAAGAAGCTGTTAGTATCGTTAGGTGTAGATTACGCTGTCACGATGATCTGATGAGAAGTGCTCGAGGGCTTGCGTTGGAGTCTTTATGCGTGGATTACGCTGTCATGGTGATCTGATGAGAAGTGCACGAGAGCTTGCTTTGGAGGATTTAAGCCTAAATACGTTTGGTAACCTTACGATGGTTGTTGTTTGTTTCTTGGTGGCTGATGACATGGCGATGGCAGCTCCTCTGGTGGAGAAGCAACAATGTTGTAGTGTGACGGCAGAAGCTTTTCAAAGCTTAAGGGCTGTATTAGACAGCTGAACAGAAAGATGTTGACGTTCGTTTTGTGTTCGTGGCTGAGTATTTTCTTACTTTTGTATATTTTGTCTATATATGTAACTTCAAATGTCTACGTACTCCATTTTTGAGTAAGCGGTTATTGTATCGTGCATGGATTCAAGTTTATGTACCTCCATTTAGTTTATATATCTACATCGTTCAAGTTTTCTTTTTTTTTTACATCGATTCAAGTTACGAAGACAAATTGGATTTGGATGCTTAGTTACACAAACCAAAATACATTTAGAATTATAACTATCAAGCCTTGAAGAACTCACTCAAAACAGGAGATCATCTCGAGAGTGGTGCAATCATCAAGAACCATCACCCGTCATGTCATACAATCCCCATTACTACCAAAGCCGCTAAATACACAAGTGTTTACAAGAATATGACCATCGAACCATATTATCCATCTACTTGCATCTCTATCAAGGTATATTGATTTATTAACAAAATGTTTAAGAGCGGAAACATATATGGAGGAACATGAAAAGTTTCTATAACTTCCATGAGGAAAACAATTACACTTTTAAAAGACATCTGCATCCACTCAAATTGCTACATCAGTTGAATATCAAACTCATAGACAATAACACCAAGAAATATCTTTTCCTTGATTAAATATATATAATACCATCTTTCAAATTATAATACCAAAGCATATATCTTTTAGAAAGTGTTAAAAAAAAAGAAAATATAAACAGAACAGAACAATTAAAAATTTAGTGAAATATAATGAAAAAATAACAAAATATATAACTCAAAAATATCAAAAAAATAAGAATGCAAATTTAGAAAATTTATTAATTTTATTGTTCTTTCGTGTTCAATATTCAACCAAAATTTAAAAGAACAAATCTCACAGATTTTTTTGATTATTAATCTCAAGCTAAAAAAAATAATAGGATACTAAGGTAAATTGAAACAATAAATTTATACGTAATCAAAACAAAAGTTAAAATAAATAGAAACCCAATACAAAAAATAACAAATAAAAAATTACATAAAACAATAAAGATCTTTTTTTTTGTTTTCATGATATAAGCAAGAGACTAAAGTTATTGTATCCATTCAAATAAAACATGCAATTATTTAATTATTAATACAATATAAGGTCATGAATTAGATAAATTAGACGATTAACATCCAACACGACGATCCTATATCTAAAAATATCCATCAACGTAATCTCATATACAAAAATCAACAAAATCTTTATAAAAATGGCAACATTTCCGCGCGAAGCGCGGACCAACCACTAGTAAAGAATAATAATAGGATTTATTTAAAGTATTATAATTTTGTATGGTTAGAGAAATTAATAGTAAGATCAAATAATAATCTCTTATATATTAATTGAGAAGCATTACAACATGATTTTGTAGTCATGTGTCATCATGAGAATGCTTCTCAAATTTACTAGAAAAAATGTTAGTCCATATAAACATATAATATACTTTTTATTAAACTAAGCATAAAACTATTATTAATACTAATTATTATTTCCTTAAATAAAATTTACGGAATTACCTAATATGATTATAATATATATATTAATGATTTAAATATGAAAGATTTGATAAAAAATTGTATAGCCCCAACTCTTTTTGTTAAATTTATATTGTGAAAATAAATTAAATAGTAAAATTAACTATATAAAAAAAAATAGATTTTTTATATATGTTATATTTTGATTTTTAAAAACGACTTAACTTAATAAAAAGTTAAAAATTTCACATATAATATTTTTGATTGATAGTTTAATTATTTTTTGTTATAGCACGATACAAATAATTATATAATTAATGAGTAAGAAAAACCATTAATAGATAGTTAAATTAGTTATATATATATATATATATATATATATATATATATATTTAGTGATGTTTAAATTAAACTAAATACCATTTGAAAATACATAAATATTTAATTCCAAAATTGCATTGAACAAGTATTGAGAACTTAATACTTTAATGACAAACTTTGAATTTTTTTTAAACATTGATAAATTACTGTAAATATAAAATCTCTCACATTAAAAATAATAATATACAAATGATTATAAAACCATGTAAGTGTGAAACTTCATTTATTAGATATATATATATATATATGTTAATATCATTTATTAATTAGATTTACTAATTATATAACGTGATTTTAAATAAACAAATATGATTATTTTATTTAAGCGCTCGCTAAATTAGTTATAGGGGTTTTTGCCAAAACTAACCCACAACTTGGTTTTAACCCCAATACTAGACCCCAACTTGAATCAAATGCAAATCTAACCTAAAAGGGCTATGAAATTACAATATAGTCCTCTGTGACCAAACAAAAAAACAGAAGACATTTTTACGAATATAACCCCAGTAAGTTGTCTGAGTCGGGCTGAGTTACTTTTCA